GGAGTATGGACCCCATGTGGTGTCCCCTGACAGAGTCAGTCCCCACCCCGCCCCCACACAAACCCAGCAGGCCATAAAAGATCTGGGCGAGCCATTCATGATCAAGGCCATGATCAGCAGGATGGGGCCCTGCTGGGTTTGTGTGTGGAGGGGAAGGGGCTGACTCTGTCAGGGGACACCACATGGGGTCCATACTCCCTGGACCAAAGACAAAGGACACAACCTTCTCTAGCTTTGGGGACTTTAGAACCAGCTCAGACCTTGGGGAGAATCGCTGTAGCCCCTGCCAACTCTCGGACCCCTGAGGGAAACTCTGCTGGGGCACAAGGGCCAGAGAAGATGAGGCAGATACCTGGGGAGTGTCAAAGGGGCATAAGTCTCTACTAAGCTCTGCCGCTTAGTAGCTGTGTGTTCCTGGGCCAGTTACTTAACCTCTCTGTGAGTCAATCTTCTCATCTATACTGTAAGGGTAATACCCGTACCTGCTTCTCAGGACTGTAGAAAACATAAGAAACGAAAAGTACCCAGCACTATTCCTTCATAAACAATCTGCACTCACTACATAATAATTGTTTTATATTATTGTCTCATGCATTGTAAGGCCTGTTCTCACAGGGACATGTGATATAGTAGAAATGGCATGGATTCTGGAGTCATGACCCTCGTCCCTCCTCCTAATAAAAGCTTGACCTCACCATCATGGCTGAAAGGTTACCTTCTGGATCTGAGCCCAGTGTACTTCTCTGTAAAATGGGGACAATGTTTGCAGGCTCATGAAAGAAGTGCAAAGCACCAGCTCAGAGCCCTGCACTAGGTACTCACTGAGTAAGTTCTTGACCTTGGAGGTCCCAGAGGACAGCCCCGGGGGCTGTCCCTGAGAGTCGGGCTGGGCCAGAAACATGGCTGGGTTGGGGCTCCGTGCTCCTTAGCCCAGAGTCAGACCGGAGACTGGGAAAGGGGAGGTCATAGGAGGAATACCCAGGGCAGGGCCGATGGCGAGGAAGTGGGGGTGTGGAGAAGGAGTAGAGCTAGAGACCAGAGATGGACGGGAGGTCTAGGAGTTGGGAAGCCTGGGGATTTAGGGGTCGGCTTCCTGGAGGATCCCCTTGGCAGGCTCTCTGCTTCTCCAGCAGCTGACCTGGCGCCTCCAGGGACCCTTGTGGGGGATCGGGGGGGGGACGGGATTCTTGTGGCCCTGGATACAGGACAGGAAGGCTCAAGGGCCAGAGAAGACTTGCAGGGAACTTAGAGAGAAGGGACCGCTCATGCAAGGTCAGACCCAGGCCTCCGCTGGCCACAGGGTTGGGTTTCAGGAGGCCCAGACCCAGCCAGGCACCCACAGGCCTGAGGTTCAGTGGGGAGGAGATGTGGGCTATAGCTCCTCTGCAGGGGATCCAGAGCCCACAGGGAACTTAAATGAAACTGGGAACTTGGCTGGCAAGGATATAAATTGACTCCTGACTGGGTACAAGACCTGCAACCTCTGCTCTTGGCCAGGCTCATGCACCTGGCTTCTGAACAGTCGCCAATGGCCACATGTCGCCTGTAGGCTCTGATGATGCATGGCCTTCATTTACAATCCACGCTCCTTGTACTTCCTAGACTTAAAAGAAAGGTCTTTGTTTCTTCTTAACGTCTCAGTAAAGCTCCTTCTGAAAAATTTCAACCTTG